CGAGACCTGGAAGAGAGACGCCTTTAGACATGCTGGGTTCAAATCCAGACCCCCACGACGGATGAGCTACATGGTTTGAAAAACATGCTGCATCTTCAGCCTCCCCACCTGCCCAGCAGGAAGAGCAGTCACTCCCACCCGATCAGGTTGTTAGGAGAATTCAGGGAGGTCATGTGTGGTGTATACCGTAATATGCTTAGTACCATACCTCACACAGTCTATGATCAGGGAATGTCAGTTCTCCCGGCCTTTCTGAAGACAATTTCCAGGCTGGAGGACTAGAGCCCCTCCTGTGGGAACACTCAGTGGGTAAGACTGCTGGGGGCTGGCCAGTTCTGCGAAGCCTCTGGGTACCCCCATCCTATCAACGGTACCAGTTTTATTTTCGGAGAGGATGAAAACAATCTGGTCAATTTCTATTCCAATCTTAAAGATAATCTTCCTTAGCCATACGTAACCCTAAGCAATTTTACCGTGTGGAACATCTTCAGTGGTAGTACACTGAAGAGGTCTCAAATGAGCTAATGACTCCAAGATGAATGAGCATAATGTAGCGTAACATATAACTTAAAATTTTATATGAATGTTGGAGACCTGGGGAGGACCATTTTCACATCATAACACTGCCATTAGCCTGGAATGCAGCCCTTGGATGAGAAACTCTCCAAAATTTGCACTGCTCTTCCCTCCTCCTTCTAACGTCCATATCCCCAAAGCAGCATCGCTGATATGAGAAGCCAAGAGCAAAGACTGGTGAAACCAGCAGGCGCCCCCACTGTGTGCCAGCAATTTTGGAGCAGATAAAGTCATTAAGGAAAATTTTAACAATGTATAACCTTTCAGCTTTACTCGGCTAACAGCAGGTAACTTGCCTTGCAGAGACATGAGCCTGCACTGAAGTCACCAGCAAGCAGGACTTGACCTTCATTTTCAGTATACGCAGTATTAAATATTCATAATGCACAGAACTGTAGCATAAGAAGTAGCTGAGTTTAAACATGAATCAAAGGAATAAATATCTCCCCACAGGTGAGTCATCCTTTCCAAGAATGCCCCTGGAAAAAAATGCAAATACCCAGGGCCTGAAGCCTCTGTCTCTTCCAACTATCTCTTGAAATTCTAGAAGTAGCAGGAACTGCTGCGTTATGCAACCCATGAATTCTGCACTCACACTGACATCGTTGGGTCTTTTTTTTTTTTTTCTTATCTATTAGAAAAGAATTACTGTTCCTATGTCAAAGAGAGGAAACAGACGGGATAGAACCAGCAATGGTGACATTATCACCCAGAGGGTGTCTGGGGCACTTTTGACTCGGTTGTACAATTTTTAAAAAATCTTTGCTTCACAAAGTATCAGAGCATGTGGGAGGAAAGGGTTGGTGTAGAGATCAAGAGACATCAGAATTAGGAGCTGGAGCAGCGCAGGCCTTAAATTGGGCAGAACACCTTTAAAAAGAAATGAAAAAAGAAACCGTTCTTTGGGGCAGTGTCTGCCTTGTGTGGCTTAATTTAATATCTTTTGAGGGATGGAATTACCGTGTTTGGAGGGCTTAACGCTTCTCTGTGTCTATAAGGAACTGACACTTGTGTCTATCCAAGAGTTGGTAGAACAACTCCCCCCTGCTTGGGTGTTTCTAGAGAGTCTACCACTGGGATGATGAAGCGTAATTTTAACACAGTTTAATGTAATTCTCTTTGGCTTTCAACTCCAGGAGCTCTGAGAACAATCTGTCCTAGCTAGACAGCAATCACTTGAAGCTGCAAGAGTGATTCTTCTGGGGCGATCCCTCTAGGAAAATTAAGACCCAAGGAAGGGCCCCTCGAATCCTTGAATGAAAAAGGACTGCTCAGGGAGTTATCCCGGCCCAACAACGGGAAAGGAAAGATGCGTAGGCAAAGCTGTCTTCGGAAATGACTTACCCACTGCCTCTTGAGGGTACAATAAGCTTGGAAAGGTTAACAAGATTATAGAGCCACCAATGATGACATTTAACTGAACTGCCTTCCCCACCTGCTGCCACACGGAAGGGGAATAACGAACCAGCCAGCTTACCAGCCCATTAGCACAACCAGATAGACCTGCCTGACACTGAGCCAGCAGGGCAGCCCCCCAGAGCCTCTTTCCTATATTAACCAGCCTTTCTCTCACTCTTCAAGGGGCTGGGTGCAGAGAAACTTCACACCTTGAACTTGTGCTGCTGGAGCGTTCCCCACCATTGTGGGGGAGGCCAGCTGTGATTAAAATTCACTGACACAAGCCACCTCACAATGGTGTCTACCCAATTAGGCTCATGCAAAGGGAAAGCCTGTAGACTTATTTATTTGATATATGTGAAGGGCATAAATGTTAACAAAAATTGATCTGAAGAAGACTAGGTTTTTTGAGGGTGATAATATCGTATAAGTTCCCAAGGGAAGTTTAAAGCTCTCTTTCCAAGACGCCCAGATGGCCAGCCAAACTACAAGTGTGTCTAATCGATGGGAGTTTTGAATGGAAAAATGGATTTTAAGAATCGACATTCAGCTTTCTTAGACATTTTCCGTTTGCATATTATGTGTGGCTAGAATTTCATTTTCTCTTATTTACTCTGCTTGATTACAATGTCTCATAGGTTTGTTTCATTGTTGTTGTTGTTTTATTCCGGGGAATCTATGGACTTGCCATACAGGTTACTTCACAAATTCTACTTCTTCCCCTTACTTAATGTGCGCACACTTCGCCGAGTGTCCCCAGAAGGACGGAAGGCTCCTTGGTATTGGCTCTGCTGATCAAGTCACCCAGAGGACAGAACCTTGGGAGATGGCTATAACCAAACACAGCAGTGCAAATGGAAAGTAGAAGGGCTAACATAAATAAACATAAGGTCTTCTTATAAAGCAAGGCTCGCTATGCCAAACCACACAGGTCAGTCACAGAGAAGAAAGACTGAGGCTAGGACAGTCCTCAGGGAGAAGAGACACAGGCTTGGTTCTAAGATTATTGGCATTTTTTGCTGAAAAAAGAGGAGAAAAGGACTGAATGTCCATCTTTGGAATACACTCCTTCCAAGTTCGTAAAAAATGCCAGAGCCAGACAGGGCTCCTGAGGCTGGCTTTCCCAAGACGTGGCAAAATGAGAACAAAATCCCAAGGACACTGGGGTGCTTCAGCATATCCAGGGAAGGGGCTCTTGGCCTTGGGGAATTCCGTTCCTTTCCAACCTCTCACATGGAGCCGAGAACACCATCTACTGCCTCTCAGTAGACACTGTAAAAAAGGACACAACTCAAATCCGTCTAACAAGAGCATTTTATTTCTGAGAAATACAGAGGAGCCGAAAGGGTGGGGAAGGGAAAGAAGGCGGCGAGGCATCTCTCCGAACCGATTGCCACACTCACCTCCATGTAAGGGTTTGCTCTGTCCGGGGCAGACACACGACATGCCCAAACGCATTTCCTGAGCCTGGCATGGAAGCTGACAGGGTCTGCACCCCATGGCATGTGAGAACACGCCGCTCCTGGGAAGAGAATGAGGAAAGAAGACGAGGACTTTAGAAGATCTTTGGTTCAATTCAAATATGGTCCAGAATCAATAAGATGAGATATTTAAAAGAGGCTTACCTTCCATGCCGTACCAGTTGGGAGTTTTCCAGACTTAAACAACTCTTCTCTTTCTTGGCTGGGAAGAGCTGATGGAGGGCACATGTAGACTCTTGTCTTCTGGAGGATTTTGAAAGGACCCTCTCCCTGAGGCAGGGGAGAGCGGTCCAGCCCTGTGCATGGGGACGGGCTGAAGGACCTCTGAGATTCTCAGACTTGGCGGATTCCCAGAGGCGAGTGATTCAAGGGATGCTTTCTTTATTTTCCCTGACATGGCATTTTGGCCTCAGCACCCTCAGCACCGCACAAAATCCTTTGGCTGGTGACCAGACGCCGCTGAGAAATTCAGAATGGAGGCGTGCATGAAACGCCTACCATCCTGAGCCACAGAAAAAGAGCACAAAGCTCAGAATTCAGGCACACCAGGGTGTACGCCAAAAAGGACACGAAGCAGGTTCCTGGAGTCAAACTCTAGTAGGCAGCCATACCACGGATAGAGTTCAAAGAGGTGAAACCTCTCTTACAGTGGACAATGCTGGCCAAGAGTTGAAGTTCATGTCACACGGAAAGGCGCGCCAGACCAGCTCAGCTCCAGCTTCCCAGATGCTGTCAGCCTCACGCTTGTACCAGAACTGTTGGAACAGATGAGGCACCCCAAGGGGACACCTGCTGGAAGCGGGCAGAGCCGGCCGCCACCTAGCAGCTCTGCTCAGTGACCCCTTTTGCCTCTGATAAAGTATTAAACTCTGTCACAAGACCCCACCGCAGGCTCACCCCAGGGTACCAGTTCATTCAACTGGCACCCCAGGGGTCTGCGTGAATGTCCGCTCTAGGAAATGCTAGATGGCCATGGGCCTACACCTCTGGGAGTCATCATGAACTCCTCCATCCCATCTGTCACCTTCACAAGTCAAGAAGCACTAGCAAGCAATGCTCCCACGGAATATTCTGCTTGATAGCAGCAAAGGACAGAACCACGCTTCCCAATCTGACCTCCAGTAAGATGACAGCATCAGGAATCCCTCATGAGAAGAGGCCCTTTCCACCCATAGCAAGAATGGCTCAGACCCTCGGTGGCTGGATATGGGCAACCCTCCCAATGGTTGAAAACTCATATCAGAGCCCTCTTAGTCTCTCGACGTTGTTAGTGCAAATACTTCAACAGGAAACAGTTATTTGAAAATAAATAATACCCAGCAAAAAGGCTTACCCTCAGATACCACTCCCTCCCTCTTGTGCCAGCAGAGTCAAAGTAACCTTCCTCGTGAGAGCTTGTTTTCCCAGTCAGAAGACCAGCCCAGAGGAGCCCTGCCTTCCACGGACAGCCTTCCAAATTTCAGGGTTAAAGTAAACCCCTTGATCAATGCAGAGGCTCATGATTGTTTTAGCAAAGAGGGCAAGACAATGTATTTGAATACTCACTTTGACGAATCAATGAAGTATATTACAAGTGCACCAATGCTCAGAGCAAAGACTAAGACAACCTGCAAAAGAAGAGGAAAATGTCATCACTTAAGAGCCGACACCGGGAAGCTTCGTATTTCGTGTTTGGAGTTTTTTTGACACACTCGGCAGCAGCTGGGAAGCAGGGTTCCCACTGCCTTCTGAGGCCCCCTTGGGAATCTCAGTCCCTGGAGGCCCCCACCGGACGCCCTGACGTGGCCTTCGCGCCTTGCAGCGGGCAGCAACCTCAGTGCCGGCCAACAGGGGTCAGGGCAGACTCTTGGATCTATGGCTCTCATCCTGCCCTGTCCCTATTAAGGGACAGCTAGCTTCTCTGCAACTGAAGTCAGCACACTCTGGTGGGAAGGGCAGGCAAACATTCAGGTGACACAGTGGGTCATGTTATATGCAACCTGGGCCCAGAGGAACTCAAATATGGGAATATCAATTTTTCACAGCTCTGCCAAGATACCACTTGGCAGTGGGTACATACCATAAAATTCACCTATTTTAAGCATACAATTCAATGACTTCGAGTAACTGACCAAGTGGTACAGCCATCACTGTCATCTAGTTTCGAACATTTTCGTCAATCCCAGTTCCACCATTCACAGGGACACCCAAGAACGGTCGGTCCCTACTCCCACCCGAAAGCCTACACAAACCCTGATTTACTTCCTGTCTCCAGGCAAGAACCATCAATGTGAAAAGCACATATCTGCTGCTTGTACGTGTGTGTGTGTGTGTGTGTGTGTGTGTGTGTGTGTATACTTATAACACCTCTCAAGTATTCTGGAAACAGTTTAGGTGAAGAAAGCCAAATCTGGTAATACATTAGAGCCAGCTATACAAGCACCCCTGTTCATGTTTACACTCTTCACTCAGAATTAATCCCCGCTGATCTAGAAGACAGTCTGGCATCTCCTCCAAAGACTACCTGTCACATGGAAGCCTATCTGAGCCATATGTCACCGCTGAGGCAGATACCGACACTTCTGCCCCCTCCCTCCATCCCAGTTTATTTAGTCTTTCACAGAGGAGACCAGTAGGGCATCTAAATGGATGCTCAGAAATAAGAAAGATGCGAAGATTGAAAACAAAAGTCAACACCACCACTAGACACAGTGCCAGGGCTCAGCAAATACCTTTCAGACACGCTATCTCCTAAAGGGACTTTGGAAGGAAAGAAGTGTCAGTCTCCTCTGAGTATCTACATATTGCCATCCCTCTGGCATCAGCTGGTGGAGAGAGAGGAATCCCAGCTTATGTAATGACTGGGCATGGTCAAGCCATGTGTGTGTGTGTGTGTGTGTGTTACAGAGAGAGAGAGAGAGAGAGAAAGGACCACACACATATCCGTACTGTGTGTGTGCACCAAAGTGGCGGAGAGGAAATGAAATCTGCATACGGCATTCGCTGGAAACACTGCAGAGCCCCATGGAGCTGCCGGACAGGCGGCCGACCGCACAGGAAACACCGACAGTGACAAACAGCCCGATGCCGCGGAAGGAAGACACAGCTTCACAGCACCTGACAAACTATCCGTATGAGAGGAAGTGGTAAAGCAGTACGCCACTGGGGCTTATTTAATTCTTCCATTTTGTCTCAAAAACTAAACCACGCTGCAGCTGAATCCAAGGCAGCACTGCAGTCTGCTGCGGGCCATCACCATCTCTCCGGGGGCCAATCCCCCCAGCAGGCTCACCCCAGACGCTCCCCTCACACTCACTCATTCATTCTTTGTAAAAGTCATCCACAAAAACAAACAAAAACATAAACAAGCCTGGCTACCCACCCCCCCATTATCTGAATGAGGCACCAAAACAAATAGCTTCAGATTAACTTTGATCTGTGTTGCTATTTCTGAGACATAAGCGGTTAGATCCTGGCCCCGAACCTCATTCTCAAAATGCTGCAAAGGGAAGGGGTGTGGCCAGGACACAGTGGAAGGACCTCTTCTTCATTCATAAACAGCTGACCGAGACTAATCTCTGCCCTCTGGACTGTGTGTGTGTGTGTGTGTGTGTGTGTGTGTGAATCCTGAGCTTTGGTCAGACCCGGCTATACCGGCCAATGAGGGGAGGAGTGGGAAGGGCAGGGATGCAGGGGAGAGGGGAGGAAAGAGGATGGAAGCCCTTGCAAATGGCATCTACATCATTACGCAACACGCTCAGAATCTAAGCTCCCCTGCAATGGTGAGTATTTCCCAGCAGCACTGGGGGGCCAGACCAAGTAGCCGACTCTGATTTGTCCCAGCTGCCTTCGCTCGGCCTCTGTGACGGTCAATAATATGCAGCTTATTTAAGCAAATCAGCCAGTGACAGGAGGGGAGGACTCCTGCTAGCTTCTTGAGATGCAAACTCAAATATCAGCACCTCTCTGGTAGGGTAAGGGAGGGAAGTAAGTAATCCAAAGACAAATGACCTCCAAGAACTGAAGATCCTGATGAGTGAGCCTGTTCTTGGGTCCACATGGTGGGCCAGAAGACTTGTTCTTGAGGCACAGGGTGTCCAACTGTTCCACCCACTCGCCTCCATAACTGACACGATCAATGGGGAGCGGACCAGCTTCTCAGGATTAAGGCAACTAGGCATGTGATTTTTAAACTTGCTAAATGGCTCTTTATCATGTCAGGCTTGATGGCATGGTCAACCTGGATCCAAGTGCTACAGAAAATGCATCAGCCCCTTGGATTACACCATGAAAACAGGAATCCAACAAAGATTCGTCTTCTACAAGGCCCTGGCAAAGGACTAGCACTCTCTCTCTCCATCCTTTATCTTTCTCGCTCTGACAAATCGCCCATTGTCTGATTAACTCTGCTCTAAATATGAAAAAATTCGGTCCAACTGCAAACAATGGTTAGATATTTAACCTAAATGCCAGTGGTTGTGTTATAGAGCAACCCGAAATAATTATCTAAGTATTTATTTCACATCTGCTATATTTGACGCCCTCGGAAAAGTGGAAAAAGTCCACTTGGAATCATGAAACATACTTCTTTGTAGAGTAACCCTTACATAGTAACCTATGTTACATTACACAATGATGCAATTAGTGCCCGATTGTATGGCATACGTATAGTCAATCTGCAATGAGGTATTGACTAGGTAGAGATATAAATGGGAGAAGTTAAGGATGGGTAGGAACCATAGGGGCTCTTGACTCAATATGTTTTTTGTTCTCAATGTGTCCCTTCTCCCTACCTGTATTGGCTACTCTAGCACCCCTTCAGTAAGGGGGGAGGCCACTGGGAGTCCTTCCATGTACCTCGATAGTCCCAGGAATAAAAGGTACTGAAGTCCAAGGGACATGGTAAAATGAGGCCAAGAGAAGCATAACACCCGAGATGGAGAAGCGCTAGCCCTCCAGCGGCAGGGTCAAAGAAGACCCCTTCCAATAACCAAGCACTTCACAAAGCTGTCGCAAACAAGACCTTGTAAACACAGTCTGACACATGGGACAATATGAGCATTCCCTCTTGAGGCACACTGTGTGCCGACCTCCGCCAGAGCCTTTCTAGTTTTTCACAGGTTGGGGTCACCAGATCATCACGGCTACCTGGAACGGTGCGAGCCACCATATTCTTAGGTTGACAAAAAAATACCTACGTGCTACATGGTGATATGAAGTACTGAGCGATATTTATGGAGGTGCTGGATACCTAACAAAAGTGATTTGATTAATATCATTGAAACAAGGGTACCCTTGAATTATCTGTTCTCAGAAATGCAAGGTCAAACACTACATGAGTTTGCACAGAAGAGTACCAGGAACAGACCCATAGACACAGACATGCATTGTATTAAAAAAAAAAAAGTTTGTTCATAACGCCTGGCACCAGGAGCCTGATGATAAATGGAGCGCAAAGAGGGGATGTTCACAGATATTTTCATGATGGTCATTCCAGCAGGCCCTGGAGATCTCTCAAATGTCTCAGAAAGTTCATGAAAATGGAAAGCAGGATGGCAAAGCTCAGGATATCCCCTGTCAGGTCACTGAGGATCTTCATGGAAAGGACAGTCCCAGTGAGAGTGAACACAGAATGAATGAATCAGGAAGGTGGGCTCTTTGACATGTTGCCTGTGCTAGAAACTGGTTTCCAAGTTGTTGGAGTTCGACCCAAGTGCTTTCAGTAGACACTAGTCACGAGTCTGCGAGGGCCTCCAGACAATGACTGGAGCAAAGGCTCAGAAAGGCAGCTCCCATCACAATCCCCTCACAGGAGTGGCATTTCTTAAAAAACAGAGATTCCTTTCCCCTGCCCTGGAACCAGAGAATGGCCAGCTGGGGGGATGGGCAAGCTGGGCACCTCTATCTTTCACAAGCTCCACCAAGTGAATCTGATATATGGCCAAGAATGGGAGTCACTGAATTAAAGCCATTAGGGGAAACCACTTAGCTCAAGTCAGAGATTAATTTACAAATGTCGCCTTAACAATTAGCCCATTAGAACATATGTATGAGGCCTGGAGGCTTTGAGAATCATGCTAGGAGTACTCTAGAAAGTACAGAGAAGAGGATGAATTAATTCTCTCCTGAGCAGGTTTTATACATTCTCAGCTCACAGCAGAACAAATGACCCTAATTAATGATTCTGCACATTTAATTGGGGCCTAGCCAGTCACTGGCAGCAGCGACCCCTCCGAAAATGGACTATTTTCTACATATAATCCCAAAGGCACATCACTATTTTTTTTATCGAGGTATAATTTATATACAATAAAATTCACTATATTAAAAAAATAGGTATGAGAACTCCCAAGGCAAAACAATGTGGGGATGTTTTGTTTATGACTGATAACATCATTCCACCATCCAAATTAAAATGTTTGGTCTGGTGAATTTAACAGCTCCAACAGACATTTATTGAACCCCTTTGTACAAAGCCCAGAGGGAGAGAGAGAAAAAAAGAAAACAAAAAGAGCAAAGTCAGTCCTGGTCTTTGCCCTCAATGAGTATGGAATCCAGAAGTTGAAATTACTAAGGAGTCCGCTGTGGCTTTGATAAATGCCACACATACGAATGGACATTTCTGGGA